ACATCACGCTCATCAATATGGCAGAATTTGAAGAGACCCATGGCGAGGCTTATAACAAGATGCCGCATATTCATGCATCAGAGTCTGCTAGCAAGAGTGACTGGATTCACGTCACGCTCGTGGCGGATTTCGACTCGGAGGCTGGTTTTGCTCTTCTGAAAGCACTGGCAGATTTCCGTGAGGCAAACCCCAACGTAGAGGCCGTTCTTATACACAATCCGAAAGCCGGTGCGGAGCAGTCGAACGCCTCAGAAGACATTCTAGAGACTTACATCAAATCTGACCGTAAGCTTACTACCGAAGCCCTCTCCGGGATCATGAACCGGAATGCCAACTACAGACCAACTCCCGCCAACTCCACTCTATTCTGGCAGGTTGCTGAGCCAATCTACGACGCGTTCGGTCTGAAACCGGGACAGAACGGCATGCTTGTCAACGGACGCTACGTGGGACCCATCCCAGATCATTACGGATTCTCATACGATGACGTGGAAACTTTTGTCACATATGAGCAGGTCAAACGCATCGAGCCGTTGAACAAAGCGCTTGCCAATCTTGAACTCATGGAAAAGATCAAATCTCCAATAGATGTTGCGAAGATCCAGTCGCTGGTCGCACTTTCCACCGTGTCGGACGTTCCAGAAGGCATTTTCGAGACTGCATCAACCCTGAGGATGAGCACTTACAACAACTGGACTGCCAAGCACACCGCTATCTTCCGGGGTGACGAAGACAACGCTGTCTTCCAGATCGTGGCCTCAATTGACCCCGCGACAGAGCTCGCACAGAAGTGGGTACCAATCCTTAAAGTACTCAGCGACATGGAGGGCACACACCTCAAGCTTTTCCTCAACCCCAAGCAGATGCTTCAAGAGCTTCCTGTCAAGCGTTTCTACAGATACGTCCTCGAAGCTCGACCATCCTTTGTCGCCGATGGATCCATCGGAAGCCTTGGAACCCACTTCTATGGCATTCCCAAGGAGGCTTTGCTGAACCTTGGCATGGATGTGCCACCCTCTTGGCTAGTTGCTCCGAAAGAGTCTGTATATGATCTCGACAACATCAAGCTTAGTACCATTCCTGCTGGTGCCGATGTCACCGCTGTCTATGAATTGGAGAACATCCTCATCGAGGGTCACTCTCGTGACACTACGAATGGTGGTCAGCCGCCGCGTGGTGCTGAAGTTGTTCTTGCTACTGAGCGAGATCCTCATTTCGCGGATACTATCATCATGGCTAATCTCGGCTACTTCCAGTTCAAGGCCACTCCTGGCTTTTACAACATCCAGCTGAAGAGCGGTCGCTCTCAGGAAGTCTTTAGCCTAGATAGTGCAGGTCCTATTAGCTGGGCACCCGTGCCAGGTGACGAGACTACCGAGATTGCTCTCATGAGCTTCCAGGGAGCTACAATCTTCCCTCGTCTATCGCGCAAGCCAGGTCAGGAAGAGACTGATGTGCTCGCTCCTGAAGAATCGCTCGCATCCGAGCTAGTTGGCAAGAGCGCGCAGAAGGTCAACAAGTTCCTTGGCAAGATTGGTCTCAACTTCGACTCCGAGAAGGTCCTGCAAAAGGGCGCTGATCTGTTCTCTGGAACCAAAGCGGCAAAGAAGGGCACGCAGGCAGACATAAACATCTTCTCCGTCGCTTCGGGCCACTTGTACGAGCGCATGCTAAACATCATGATGGTATCCGTCATGAAGCACACCAAACACACCGTCAAATTCTGGTTCATCGAGCAATTCCTCTCTCCCAGCTTCAAATCCTTCCTCCCGCACATCGCCGCCGAGTACGGCTTCGAATACGAAATGGTCACCTACAAATGGCCGCACTGGCTACGCGGCCAAACCGAAAAGCAGCGCGAGATCTGGGGCTACAAAATCCTCTTCCTAGACGTCCTCTTCCCGCTCGACCTCGAAAAAGTCATCTTCGTCGACGCCGACCAAATCGTGCGAACAGACATGTACGAACTCGTTACACACGACCTAGAAGGCGCCCCTTACGGCTTCACACCCATGGGCGACTCGCGCACAGAAATGGAAGGCTTCCGTTTCTGGAAAACAGGATATTGGGCTAACTTTCTGCGTGGTCGCCCTTATCATATCTCCGCGCTGTACGTCGTAGACTTAGTCCGCTTCCGCCAACTCGCCGCCGGCGACCGCCTCCGCCAGCAATACCACGCACTCTCCGCGGACCCCAATTCCCTCTCCAACCTCGACCAAGACCTTCCCAATAACATGCAGTTTAACCTCCCCATCCATAGTTTACCACAAGAGTGGCTGTGGTGCGAGACTTGGTGCAGCGATGAGGATTTGCACAAGGCGAAGACGATTGATCTTTGTAATAATCCGCAGACTAAGGAGCCGAAGTTGGAGAGGGCAAGGAGGCAGGTTCCTGAGTGGAATGTTTATGATGGGGAGATTGCGGGGTTGGCTGGACGCGTGAAGGGGGAGGTGAGGGATGGGAAGGTGGGAGGGGTGGTGGATGTGCAGGAGGAGGAGCAGAGGAGGGAGAAGGTGGTGAAGGATGCGGAGAGTGAGAGGGAGGGGCATGGTGAGTTGTAAGAAGAAAAATGTCTTTGTGTTCAAGGGAAGCGAGAGTTCGTTACGATATTAGAGGTCGCAATTGCATCAAATTTCACCGCTTTTCACGCATGCAACAGCCGATTATGAGCTTCATTTTCTAAGTTGCTCATGAAGGCATACTCGTGCAGTGCGATGGAGCATACGAACAAGTTGTAAATCACTCGTGTAGCATTGGGGCAAGCGCATCATTGATGTTGAAAGACATTATATTTTTATCTTGAAATGGTATCATAACTTCATCTATCCTCAAACAAAGCAGTAGAGAATTCCCTACTCGCCCTTACCCTGCTTTCCGTAGAAAGCATCCTCACCACCAAGTGCCTTGAGCGCCTCAGCAGACTTCTTCTTGGACTCTTCGCTAGTGTCTGCATCACGCGTTAGCCTTCTATCCCAATCTCATTCAAACCCACAACAGGGGAGTCGAGCGAGGGAGTAAACATACTGGGGTTGCTCAAATTGGCCTTGTGACCCGAAGCCTTGTTGCTGATATCCTCGGTGGTGTTGTTGATGTTCTGGTCCGCCTCGCTGAGGCCGGGGGCGGTGATGCCCTGGTGGGAAACTCCTTGTCCAGACATGTTTGGAGGGGGTGTGGCGTAAAGTTTGATTTGGTCGTGGGTGGTTCAGGTAGATAGATTTGATGTGTGATGAGTAGTTGATGATGTATAGCGTTTCATAAACACCAGTACCCAGCCTTATATACCCATGACGTACACACAGCCAGCCTGTTGCAGTACCTCCACATTACGTCTTCAGCGTCATCTGTCCGCTGGACCACCTATGTCATACATGTCTTGGCATGAACCTATCTTCTCCACCCAACCCAGGTACAGCCGTGCCGGCGTAGCCACCAGTCTACGCTAGGGGAGCCGAGACCCGATCGTGTGTGGTATCTGTCTCATCTCACCAACGTACCCATAGTTTTCGATATTAGATAGAACGAAAACCTGTTCTTGGTGTTTGCGCTGGTTGTGCAGATGTTGGAGTGTAATGACCGCATCGCGTGGTGGTTGTCGATCATCGTAAAGGTGGTCGGGAGAAACGGCTCTATCGGCCCTTCTCGATGGCAAGGCGCAGGCGCGTCACGATGCCTCTCGGAACATCAAACATTGCCATTGCTGGATTCAATCGTGAGTTTTGAGTAGGGTATTCATGCCGTATTACATGCAGTACATAGTTCAGTGTTCTTATCGTCAAACCAACGTCTGGTCTTGGTCCTATCCATCTACCTGGGAAGAACAATGATTAGAAAGAAGTAGTGGTTGCTACTCAAGCCCGGCTGGCAAACGCTTTATGAGATTCATTATGACGCCCCTTCAAAGAGAGAGAATAGGTAGAAGATGTAGCTAACAGGCTGTGGGAAAGACACAACGCAACGTGGCTTCCAATGCCCATACCTACTTGTAATCGAATCACCTTGTCACACAGCCCCCTCCTAAAGGGACTTTCATCCTGACTAGAAGAGCATCACGAAGCGTTCGCAAGCATAGAGGAATATGCGCGGCACGAGGACCAAACGATGGATCGTCGCGTCGGCGTTCTGCCCACGCGGAAAGCGATGACGTCACCAGCATCATCGTCTCCTTCCCCACACATCTCCGCCCTAGCCATTCAGCCTCACCAAACATACCACAACTACACCAAACACCCATCTTGACAAAGCGTCCCATCTCATACCTCCCCAACTATCACCTCAATCCCCTTAAAATGTCGTCAGAAACCCCCTCCATACCAACCCTCCACACCAAAGCCGAGTACCTCAAAGCCGTCATGTACGAAGGCGTCACCATCCTCGAAGGCACAGCCACCTGGTGCAAAAACTGCCACATCGTCGCCCCTGAAGTCGCAAAGATGGTGGCGGAGTACCCAAACGTAAAGTTTTACACGTATGATGTGGAGGAGTGTGAGGATATTGCGCAGGAGCTGGGGGTGAGGAGTATGCCGACGTTTAGTGTGTTTAAGGATGGGGATATTATGGAGGGGGTTACGGGGGCGAGGCCGAAGGAGGTTAGGAGGGCTATTGAGGGGTGTTTGTAGGGTGGGGAATGAGGGGAGTGGTGGAGGTGAGAGAGCGGGCTGATGGTGTTGGCGTTTCCGAGGCGCATGAAATCTGTTGACTCATCCATTCTCACTGAAACTTCGATTTTATGACCGCACAACGGCGGTGGAATTGCGGCTGCCAAGCGCGGAGGTGAAGGCTACCTTGAGAAGCGAGACCGCATTTGCACGAGCCTTTTCTCATATTGCATCCACGACTCTTACTTACTTTTCTACTACTGAAACACCATCCTTACTAACCCCCGTACAATCACTGTCGCACCACCTCTCCCTCAATAATTTCAGCGAAACGTTTAACCTATCACCCACGAACGCATCTCCGGCCAATCGAGTGACAGTGCCATTCTCGCACACGAAGGCAACATGGCGGACCTCAGAAAAGAGATGTCGCTAAAGGCCTCGGCCAGGGTCTTATTAGAGAGAATTGCGGAGTTCGACGAGGCGATCGCGCGACTGGTCGACAAAGAAACAGAACCGTGGGTGTCATATATGAAGTACAAACTCGAAGGTGCAAAGAACAGACTTGAGTTACGTAAAGCAGAGCTTCCGAAAGAAGACTACGAGACCACCGCGAAGGAGTTCTACACTCAACGTCTTTCCAAATACGAAGAACCACTCGTCATCGAGATCACCGACTTAGTACAGATTGCTTCGACAGAGACAAAAGCTTGGACAGACGCTGCCGACTCTTCGCGTACTCTCCGACAGCTGAACGATTCACTGAAACAATACAAACTTGAACTTCAAGAGAAAGATCGAACGCAGGTGGTCTCGCAGGAATCCGGACAAGTGGCAGTTGATGACATTGCCGTACGGAAGCTAAAATCGGACGTCGAGGCCTACACCGACAAGGTCAAGGAGTACTACATGAACAATCAGACGCTCTGTAGCACAGCGCACAAGGCAACAGTTACAATGAATCTTGCCGTAAAAAGCGATCTCAACATACCCGGTGTCGGAAAATATATTCCCATCCCCGCACCCGTCACAATTACGACAGCTCAAGTCAAGGTCGCGGACTTGGCCTGTAGCTTGGAAGCCGCCGGAAAGGATGTCACAGTGGATGAAGCTTCCGGAGCGATTTTCCCCAGGCCCAAAAGCGTGACAGCTATAGTCACAGTAGACCAACAGCTGTCAAAGATCCAGTTATGTTCACCCCAGAAGCATTACACTGACGTCCAACGGATGAGGCGGCGTGATTTCAAGGTTGGCGACATAGGCTGGTTCCCCGTCTTGCGTCCTTCTTTAGCAGAGTCTCCGTCAGATATCCATACTCAGTACGGTTACATTTGCGCAAAGTCGTATCCACTGATCATAGTGGAAATGTTTCAAGACTGTATGTTGGGCCTGATCATCTCGACGGCAAACAGAACTGGCCTGAACAACAAGGATCGTTCTATCGTAAATCGCAGCGTCCCAATCATCACCTACATGTCTCCAAACCCCACATCGTCGGATTGGGGCCACAGCCTGTACCCAAGACAACGGCTTCGCGCTAACCGTTCTGGTCGTTACCAACCACCTAACAATGCTTACGTCGACTTGCTCAATGCAATCATGATACCTTATGATACAAGGTTTCGAAAGGAAGGAGAATTACTTGCAGGCGACACTCTTCCACTCCAGCAGATGAGACTTTCGGCAGTTCTTGGGACTCCGGGAATTAATACAAGCACGCGTGCAGAGTTTTGCAACTGGTTCAAGATGTGGGCAGACAAGGATCATTTATCATATACGCTCAAATCTATATACGATAAAGAAGCGGTGGAGCTCAAGCGGTTGCGAGACAAAGAGATGGCGGGATTGCATTCTAAGAGAGATGCTGCATGGAAGATCGAGGCCAAGATACGGTCGGAGGCGAAGGAACGTGAAGAGGCTATGAGGCGCGTTGAGTCTAAGAAACGCGAAGAAGCGAAGGAATACGAAGAAGCAAAGCAACGCGAAGATGCGAGAAAGCGGACAGTGCTCGCGCACGCCAAGGCCACCTGGGACCGCATGTTTGCTCCTGGGCGCGAAGATGCCAAGATCCAAATGGACAGAAATGTCAGGGCGTTAACTCGCGGGGCCTCTCGGGGACCGAATTGTGGTTTCTAAGTTTCCGGTCTCTTATCAAAAGTCGGGTGTCGCTCGATGACAGGTTTGGGAGAAGGTTCGACCCGCATCTTCTGGGTTGATGTTGACGTCGTTATCCAAGCTGCGACTTCGAACAATGTACATCCTGCACGTCGGTATCCATATTGCTTGTCTTGCATGGAAGAGAGCAGTATCGGTTGATGCAGGTGTATAGAAAGAGACAACGCCTTACATAGATGGAGCTGAGCCACCACGCTGTCTCAGCGGGGGGAGATGTGGACGAGAGAATCTTTTTCGTGTCTTGTCTCTGCAACGGAGTTTGTACCTTTTGGTACTCTTCGAATGTAGTTCGAAGATACGTAGAATCAGAAGCTCGAATTCTTTGCAATTGCTTTGCCCAACGCGCACATATGCAGTGACCCTCACTCCACCCATCACCACCCCAAACCCTCTTCGCATCACATCACGTCCCATCAAAACTCGATCCCCACCCCCAGTCCACCCCACCAATCTCCATCCGGCCATCGCACTACACCCCAGTCTCCGCTGACCACACCCAAGACCCTCCCGTCCCATCCCAGCCAATCACCATCGTCTCAGAAGTTGCCGGGTAAGCCCAGCACAAGGGTAGCGAGCGGGGAACACCCGACCTCCACCACCGCATTCAACATGCTGACCATCGCTTTTATGTTCTCAAAGGCATGCTGTAGCGAAGGAGGCTTTTCGGCGTAATCGTGATATATATCCAGCCAGTTAGGACATAGCTGCGTACTGACCGAGCCGTGGCGGCGGTATTTGACGAACGGGAGGAGAGGATTGTGTACACGGAGACCGAGACGGGCGGCTTGGGAGACGGGGTGCGAGATGGATGAGTGGGCGACCAAGAAGAGGGCGTTCGAGATGTCGTGTACCCCACCGTGCATGTGCATGTGGAGGAGAGGTGGTGAGCGATGGCGGACAGGGAAGTGTTTGAGTTGATAAGCACAGTATACCCTGGGGTTGTGGTGCAAGGTTGCGATTGATACAAGACTACACTACCTACCTCCACTCCACCAGTCATCCAATAGACACAGCTACTACAGCCAATCATGGCGACGACAACAGTGACCTCGCACAGCACAGACTCCGATCGCATAGACAAGGAGCCACATCTCGCACATACATCAACCAACATCTCGATCAGCCCAGAGCTCTTCGAAAAACTGTATCTCGCGCCAAAAACACCACATGCAAATGAGAACGTCGGAAAATATGCTAATGCGACGCCGTTGGGTTTCCTGGGGTAAGGAACTCTTTACGGAATGGACGGTATCGATACTAAAGACCGCAGATTCGTAATCTCAACCTTCACGTTCTCCATGGTACTAATGGGCTGGGGCGGTGCCGCCGGAATGCAAGCAGTCGTGTAGGTCCTCCGTCCCTCCCCTATTCCATCCTCCCGTCCCATCCCATCCTCCCATCGCCATCCCCATCTCCACCTCCACCCCAAACTAACCCTCCCCCCCTCCCCCTCACAGCGGCATATTCTTCTTCACAGGCCCCCTCCTCCTAACCCTCTCCACAATCTTCCTCTGGATCCAAGCCCAATTCTTCCCCATGATGGTCTGCGGCCTCTTCGCCGTCTTCTGGCTCTCCTTCGGCATGTTGCAACTACCCACGCTCAATCTCGCCGCCGCCTACTCCCCAACTGGCGATGCAGCAGCAGGGATGGTGAGCAAAGAGATGAATGCGGTGATTGCGTTGTATTTGCTGGTCTGGGGGTTCGCGCTAGCAACGTTTTGGCTGTTTACGATTAGGATTAATGTGGTTTTTGCGGGGATCTTCGGGTTTGTGACGGTCGGGGCTTGGGTGTTGAGTGGAGCGTACTGGGCGTTGAGTACGGGAAATTTTGATAAGGCGTTGAAGTTGCAGAAGGTGAGTTACACTGGCATTTTTTAGGGGTCATTACTGATACGTACAGGCTGGTGGAGCGCTCCTGTTCATAGTAGGCCTTCTGGGCTGGTACATGCTCTTCGTCATTATGGCTGCAGAGATGCGCTGGTCTGTATGTCCGCCTGTTGGAGATCTTAGCAAATACTGGGCGAAGACGGATGTGGAGATTGGTGCGAATGCAGGCGAGAAGAAAGATTGAGCATGGGATCGTGTCTTTTGAAAGCGACACTGATGTTATGTAGATGGTGCGGTAATACTTCGCATGTAATTGCTGATGTAAAACCTTTCCACAATGACGCAGCTCGACGAGCAAACGAACTCATGGCCCTACAGTCCCCGCGACGTTCTTTTCCTGCAACTCTTTCCTGTCGCGTCTCTGTACAGCAACGGTCTTACTGGTGTACTTTCTCTTATCAACAGACGGGATGAAGAAGGCAGCGACCACTCCTAGCAGCCCAAACGCCAAGGCCACTAGATACGACAAATGCGCACCCTCCAAGTATGCTTGCTTATTCCCTAAACTGGCTGCAGCTCGAATAGCAGGAGTTATACCTGGGATCGCTTGGTACCCGGCAGCTGTGTTTGCTCTCGCCGCGGTGATCAACCTAGTGACGATATCCGAGGAAAGATTGAAGCGGGCAAGATTAGCACGAACGCGCGCAGGTAAGGCGTCTCCGTACTTGTTGTTCGTGACGTTTCCAAAGATGGCGGTAGCGACTGCGCCGGCAAGCAGGCGAGAGGTTCCTGCAAGACCGGCTGCCGTGCCTATATCTTCCTGATATACGATTCCGAAGCCTACCAAGACCATGCCGTTCAAGAGGTTGACAGAGGTACAGGTTGAGATGATGACTGTAAGGATGATTGACTTGACGGGATTGTCCATCGTAGATGTGGACATGGCGCCGACGCAGGCTGTCTGTAACGCGACGGCGAACATTATGACCCAACGTTGGTGTCCGATGACCTTGCTGAAAGCCACAATGATACCACCGATAATGGTTCCGAGAGGAAGGACTTCGGCGTACAAGCCTTTGGATATCTCGTCGGTGGCGTAGATGAGTTGGGATAGGCGCGGCCACAGAGTTGCGTTCGAGTAGTATTGCATCCTGTTCTTCGTTAGCATGGGTCACATTTTTGATTGGAAAACTTACCCGCCGATGGCCATGACTAGCATCGGCACAGTAAAGTGGCGTAACGCTCTGAAAAGACGCGGCGGGAACAATGGTGCCGTCAAGTTATAGTAGGCCTCGTAAAATCCCAGACCGATCAAGGTCACCAGTCCGATGATGATAGGTGCGAGCACGGTCGCAGAAACCCAGGGAGCTTGGGACCCACCCCAGCTGACACCGACGATGAATAGTGTACAGCCAGCCAAGAACAGGAATAGTCCCAACCAGTCAAATTCTCGTAGAAGCTGTCCAGCAGTCTTTCCATGTTTAGCCTTCTTGTCTTTCCAGGATGGCGGGTGGTAGAAGAAGAATAGTAGTGCAAGGTTGATGGCCTGGAAGCCGATCATGACATAGTAGCAGATACGCCAGTTGCCCGTTTGCTTGATGATGACCCAACTGACCAACGGCATGATCTGCGCTATGATCGAAGCAGCGTCAAATAGCCCAATAGTAACATGACGATATTTGCTCGGCACGATCTCTTGGACAGCACCAAATGCCATCTCCAGGAATCCGGAACCGCAGCCAAACAAGGCACCACCGGCGATCATCTGGTTGATGCTTTGTCCCGTCGCTGAAACGATACTGCCGATGATGAGAATGATAGCTCCAGCGATGAAGAACCATCGCCTGCCGAATATGTCTGAAAGTCGTCCACCAACAGTAACAAACATCGCGCCACCAAGGTTCCACGAGATCGTAATCCATGTGTATCTCGGGTCTGGGCCAAGCTCGGCGTTGATGTACGTGAGAATCGCTGGTGGAATGAGGAGGGTGAATAGGTAGGCGTTGTAGCACATGGCCATAGACACAGCAGCCATCAACGTGCGGACTGACTATAGTTAGATATGAAGGAGCTAGTGCAGATGTTTGGCATTACGCACAAGTCATGCCAACATCTTCACCGGTGGTTTGTAGATGGCGGACGATCTCTTCATTGGCGTCATTGCTGGAGATGTAGTTGTCGTGATCCGATGTATTCGTGCTATGCTCGAGCGCTTCGATGTGTGCCACCGAGGGCTCGCGGTCTCCTTTCGTAGACATAGCGTAGCAAGCGACAATGGAGAAAGCGTACTACGATGTACTGAAAATATCCGAATCAAGAGCTGGAGGATCAGCACTGTCATAAATACCGTCCCGCTGTTCCCTAGTGTGATCCGTCAGCTACCCCAGAGTCCACCCCAAACATCCCCACCCATGCATGGAGATAGCGACATGGCACTTATGCACATGCAACCGACTCAAAATTATAGTACACTTGGGGGCGTTGTACCGATATGAGCATAAGCACTGTCATTGCCGATTTGGGTAAAGAACTGCATGTCGTATGGCGTCAGTGAGGGAACATGATTGGTCACGGCTCCTTCAGTCGGAAAAACATAGCCAATGCCGACTTAGTATACCCGGTGTTGGCTATCGTTGTCCTGTGTGCGCAACAGTCAGCAGAGGATTACGCACTGGAGATCGCATTGCTGTAGGAGTTTTAGTGTCCCTCATAGCGCATGGTGTGCCATCCACCTAATGCATCTCTTCCAATCTCTGTTCTCGTACTCGAACACCCTTGAGAGAGGACATGTGATCGCATTCGCTCGTTCTCGTACCATGAGACGTGGTATCGTTTAATACGCTGCGTACTTGGATTACGATGGTAGAGGTAAGCGAGGGAAAAGATCAATTTTTGTCATAGCCGGATATCGCGAGTATGTTGTAACGCCTTCAAATGCTGTATCCACAAACGCCACCCAAGAAAAGGAACCGAAATCTCATAGAGCCTCGAGTTCGAAGTCGTCCAGCTTGTCGCGGTACTTCATGATGTTGCGCTTAATCTTGGAGGAGTCGACCCATGTGACAAAGTCTTCCATATTCCTCGAGACCAAATACGCTGGGTCTGTGATAACGTCGGTTCCAACTCTTACATGC